CTGTAAGGTGTGAGTCCTGCCCGGGATGAGGCATCCTTGTGCAGTGCATAACCTGCACAGCTCTAAGTGACAGTCCTAAGAAATACTTAAAGAAAAAACTGTCAAGCCGTCGTGTGCAGCAGATACTCGCAAGTCCTATTCTATCCCAGACCCCGTCCCTGATCCTGACCCCCATTCCTGACTCCAGGGATGAGGCTCAGGGGTGAAGCAAAACCATCCAGTGCCCACTTTGCCTGGGACCCGAAAGGCTGCAGGGTTAGATGAAAGACTTTTAGACTGCGTGACGCGGTCCCAGCTCAGAGCATTCCGCCTCTGGCCCCTGCTCTTCTGCACTGCCCAGCTCCCCTCTCCTCATGCCCCCTTTCCCAGAATTGGAAGAGAGAGACCTTGAGATCATGAACAGGGATGAAGAGGGCCCACTGGAGTCTACAAAGTCATCTTGGGGAAGAGGAAGCCCAGACTCACCTGGCCCTCGGCCATTAGGGTCCCATTGGCCATTGCTGGGTCCTGGGCATGTGCCTCTGGGAGAAGGGTCCAGGCCAGGCCTCCAGGGCCTGAAGAGCTGGAGGAGGAGACCACAGCAGAAAAGGGGTGATTCGTGACCCTGACAGACAGACGCTCTCCCCAAGACTCCTGGTCACAGAAGCGGCCACGGTCCCCCAAGAGTCAAAGCAAAGACCCAGGACAGGCCACCTGAGGCCCCCATTCCATACCAGTGACAACAGCCAGCAACCATGAGGCTGTCTCACCTCCCGAACACAACAGCTCTCGGACACAGGAACTATGGTGATCCCTACATGAGGACATTGAGGCACAAGAGGTCAAGACTTGCTCAAGTTCATGGAGACAAAAAGTATCAGAGAAGTCTAGCCACAGGGTCACCCCTTTTTTCTTACCCTTTTTTTTTTTTAGATGGAGTCTCGCTCAGTTGCCCAGGCTGGAGTCAGTGGCACCATCTCGGCTCACTGCAACCTCCGCCTCCCAGGATAAAGCGATTCTCTTGCCTCAGCTTCCTGAATAGCTGGGATTACAAGCACCCGCCACCATGCCTGGCTAATGTTTACATTTTTAGTAGAGATGAGGTTTCACCATGTTGGCCAGGCTGGTCTCAAACTCCTGACCTCAGGTGATCCACCCACCTCGGCCTCCCAAAGTGCTGGGATTACAGGCGTGAGCCACCACACTCTGCCTTATTTTATTTTTGAGACAGAGTCTTGCTCTGTCGCCCAGGCTGGAGTGCAGTGAGGTGATCTTGGCTCACTGAAACTTCCACTTCCCGGGTTCAAGTGATTCTCAGGCCTCAGCCTCCTGAGTAGCTGGGGTTACAGGTGCACGCCATCACACCAGGCTAATTTTTTTGTATTTTTAGTAGAGATGGGGTTTCACCATGTTGGCCAGGCTGGGGGGAAGATCAGAGAGAGATGGGAGACCCAGAGAGAGAAGAACAGATGCTCAACATAAGGGGAGCCGAGACCGAGTCTGTGCCGGTGCAGTGCTGCTCGCGGGCTCTGGGGTCAGAATCTGGGTTGCAGCTCTACCAGCCTGAGAGAAATCGCGGAGTCTCCCCGAGTCTCAGTTTCTTCAGCTGCAAAGTGAGGAAAGGTAGGTTTCCCTTCCTCGGAGAGCGCAGCAGTCCCAAGCTCCGCCGGACTCCTGGCAAACAGCAGGCGCCCAATTCCTGCGCGCTGAGCCGTCTGAGCCTCGCTGATACTAGGTGGGACTCAGGGAATGACAAGAGGGGGCGGGGCGTCACCCACAGCGCCCTCCCCCCTTCCACCCAGACCCAACTCGGGCCCGCCCCCGGAGCTTCTGCTAGCCTGTCTGTCCCGGCCCGCACCCACCTGCTCCGGTCGGGTCCGCGACGTCCGTGCGTTCAGGAGGATTTCGCTGGACAGCCAGGCCTTCCCTTCCTCCGAAGGGCCCCGGAACGCGCCTGCGCGCTCGCTGTCTCGGAATTGTAAGTCCCCGGTACTTTAAACTCGGCATCGCGACTGGACTACATTTCCCAGAAACCATTGAGGCTCAGGCTCCTCCCGGCCTAAGGGCTTCTGACTGCGGGGGAATGCTGGGAAATGGAGTCTGGGAGCAGGATGCGGAGCAGGAGTAAGAGGACTGTATTTGGATACAGACACAACAGCTTTTGCAGGAAAACTGGTATTTGGGACATGCCTCACTGTACTGGCACGCGAATATCCCTGTTTTAGGCAGAGGCGATGCCACAGTCCATTTAATCCAAATTTCTCCTGCCATGGCTGAAGTCTTCAGGACAGATAGAAGTTGGCCCCATGTAAACTGATGGTGAATGAATTGAACCACTGTTATTCAATTTCCCTGGGCATCTGCCTTCCTATTTGCTCAGTTTCACCCATCACTTCTTAAAGGGCAGTGTGGTAAAGGCAATGGAGCCTATTCTGGGAGCTTGGAGATGTGTGTTCAGGAGTGCAAGGATGGTTTGATATTAGGACATTACACAATTTATCTTTTGACCTTTCCGAATATATCAATATGCAACCATATCTATAGATACTAAAAAAAACCTTTGATAACATTCAGTAACCCTAGATGCTGAGAAAGCTTACAAAAAAAAAATTCTGTAACCAGTCATTTCTAGATAAGCTGAATAAATTGAGCATATATTCATATTGAACAATAGCAACAATGTTAAAGAATTACTGGCCTCTTCTTGTGTTTATGTCCATACAATCAAAACCTCATATCAGGCTTTATCATAAAACACTAAAAGAATTGCCAGGCTGGGTGCAGTGGTTCACACCTGAAATCCCAGCACTTTGGGATTTCAAAGAGGGAAGCTAAAGAGGGAGAATCACTTGCACTCAGAAGTTTGAGACCAGCCTGGGCAACATAGTGATACCCCCATCTCTACAGAAAATACGAAAGCTAGCCAAGCATAGTGGTGAGCACCTGTAGACCCAGCTACTCAGGAGGCTGAGGTAGGAGGATCAATTGAACACAGGAGGGCAAGGCTGCAGTGAGCTGTGATGGTACTAGCCTAGGCAAGAGACCAAGACCCTGTCTCAAAAAAAAAAAAAAAAAAAAAAAAGTGTAAACCATATATGTGCTCATGAGCAAAAGCTAGATGGCCCATTGCCGAAATGAAATAATAGTAGGTGTTACTTATTAACAACACGTTGTGAGCTTTACTAGTTGACTGAGCTGGCACCACCACCCTATGAAAAAGGCATTGCTCTCCCTATTTTACAGACAAGGACACTGAGATAGAGGATTTATGTCATCCCCCCAAGCTCCCAGAGCTAGTCGAGGATGGAGGATTTGAATCCAGGTCCAGCCCATATTTGCAACCACTTCATTTTACTGCTGCCAAGTTTGCTCCTTTTTCCTTGCATCCTGATAACCAAATGCTCCAAGCACAGGTTGTACTGTCAGCTGAGGCTCTAGAGTCAGGGTGGCATGGAGCAGAGCCTCAGCTAATCTATAATAGGCATGTCACATTGTGGAGACAAAGGTGACTCCATCTTGGATGGTAATCCACCTTGTTGACTTCTGATTAATCCTAGTCCTGGGAATGCCTTCTGATTTCTACTTTACTTACTGTCTCTAGTGTAAGAACATGTCAACCCTGATGTTTTCACACAAATTATAGGCTATGACACAAACAGCATTCTTGCCTGTTTTGGAGGGTTGTCTTAACCATTGTCTTGCCAAAGCAAGTATTCCCCTTCCGTATGTGAGATAAGCCTTGGGATTAGGGAGTAACTGTGTGGAGATAGATCTGTCCTGCTGCCACCCCAGACCCCATGCTTCCCTTTGTAAGTTCCCCAAATAAATCACCCCTTACCAACGAACTGGGTTTGTCTCCCTCTTTTTTGGTTTATTGGATCCTTCCACATTTGGGGGTTATTTTGCATAGATAGTCCTTATATGGAACACACATGAACAAGGAGTAAGCCTTCATCACTATAAGCCATGAAGGAGGTTGTGGGGGTGTTACTGAAGCATAACTACTTATCCTGGCGGATACAACTGTCTCCAAAGGCTTTGATGAAGCTGAAATTTGATATTAAATACAAGTTATTATCAGAGCTTTGCAAGTCATTAACCGCTCTGTGCCTCAGTTTCCTCATTGTACATGGGGCAATAATAAGTACCCTCTTTATCAGGTTATGAGATTTGAATAGGTAGATAGAAGTAAAGCCATTAGAACAGTATATGACAGATAGAAAACACCGTGTAAGTGTTTGCTATTATTAAAAACACGTTAGGCCAGGCACGGTGGCTCAAGACGGAGTCTCACTCTATCGCCAAGCCGGAGTGCAGTGGCACGATCTCGGCTCAATGAAACCTCCGCCTCCCGAGTTCAAGCGATTTTCCTGCCTCAGCCTCCATAGACGCGCGCCACCACGCCCTGCTTTTGTATTTTTACTAGAGACGGGGTTTCACCAACACGCCCTGCTAACTTTTGTATTTTTACTGGAGACGGGGTTTCACCGTGTTGGCCAGGATGGTCTTGATCTCTTGACCTGGTGATCTGCCCACTTCGGCCTCCCAAAGTGCTGGGATTACAGGCGTGAGCCACCGCGCCCAGCCCCAACTGTGACTATTTGCTCTTCCTTCCACTTTTTCCCACGACTGCTTTCGGAAAACACCTACTTTTCTTACAAGAACAAGTTCTTACAGCCTCTCCTGCAGTAAACTTTCTCTGATTTCCACCGAGCTCAGCCAGAGCTGGCAACTCGCTCTCTTGGGTTCGCACAGGAACATTCCAGTATCTTAGATCCTATAGGGCTATGTGCTAACCGCCGTGTTGTAATTCTTTGTAACTGTCCGTCTCTCTCGCTCCAGTCTCATCACACTAATTTATGTAAGTCTTAATTATCTGTTTATTCCGCACTTCTCCCAGGAAATTTCCAGGAATTTGAGGAAATGTCTGGACCTGCAGCATGAAGACGTTAAAACAAACCCGTAACACTGCTCACCACCGGCCAAGCAAAAAGCATTTTGGGACCACTAGTTTGCGACCCTCAAACTTGAGTTTTTCCCAGGTGCTGCAGTCCGGCTACCAGTTCAGAGGTGCGCGTGAAGTCAAGAACCTCTGATGCATCTGCGGTAGCCATGTCCCCGGCCAGCGCACAGATGACGGTGACGTAGCGCGCACCAGGAAGAGAGTCGTCATGGCAACCAGCGTTCCGTCGCCCGGCCACGTCCGCAGGAGACTGAGCCGGCTCCCTGCGGAGGCGCGGAGTCGAGAAAAAGAGGAGGGTGCAGTTCTCAGATATAGCAAGGCCCAGACATTAGGGCCTAGTTCCCGCGGACTTTCAACGCGGAGTAATAGCCAATGCCGTGTAGGACAGTGCTCCTGCGCAGGCTGAGTCCGTAAACTACCATTCCCAGAGTCCTTCCGGTTGCAGCCAGATCAATTTCAGAGGTTGACGCCCGCGCTCTACCTCTTCAAACCTGCTCATTCAAGGCGCACGTACTGCGCATGTGCTAAAATGGTATCTTGGCAACCGATGGCTGGAACAGGGCGCGGTAGCTCTTGCCTGTAATCCCAGCATTTTGAGAGGCCCAGGCGGGCGGACAACTTGAGGTCAGGAGTTCGAGACCAGCCTGGCCAACATGGTGAAACCACCGTCTCTACTAAAAATACAAAAATTAGCTGGGCATGGTGGCGCATGCCTGTAATTCCAGCTACTCCGGAGGCTGAGGCAGGAGAATAGCTTGAAACCAGGAGGCAGAGGTTGCAGTGAGCCGAGATCATGCCACTGCACTCCAACCTGGGCGACAGAGCAGGACTCCGTCTCCAAAAAAAAAAAAAAAAAAAAAAAGTATCCGAATCTAGTATTCAGGTGCACAGAGGGTGAAGAATTGTAGTTCAGATAGAGAAGAAAACCTGTGCCTTCCACATTGACCACCGCTCTTCCTGTTTAACCATCCTCAAGGGTTGCACTGAGTCATGTCCTTTCAGATGCATTTCCTTCCCAGAGGAGAAATGGTTGTCCCTTCAAACTCTTATAATATGCTGTCCATCCTTTTTGAAGGTCCAAGTCACTTCTACCTTGTATTAGGATAATGGGTGTCTACAGATGAGTGGGATCTGGTCCCAGCTTTTGAGGAGCATCCAGTCAGGTAGAGAAACAGAGCTGCACACCAACTAGGGGGAGGGTCCCCAGGAAACGGACAGAGACATTGATGGATTTGTCACCAATTTTATTAATTTTCCTTTCTCCTTACCCCCAAACCACCGTCCTACTGCAGCAGGAGTTTTCGGTTTTGTCTGTATGTACAAGCCCTGGTCAGAGAGAAAAAGCCTGTAGATTAGAATGAGAATTTCAGGCTCCTCCAGATCAAAGGACCCATAACTTCCCTCCCATAACTTCCCTCCAATCTTTGGCCTGATTTGGCTCATCCACTGATGTCATGGGTATCTGGGCAGATTTTCAGGGTTCTCTGCCAATCGGAGTTGGTGAGGAGAGAGGAGAGAAAAGTTGGGACCAGGGGTGACAGTAAAATGTGGGAACAGAAAGAGTCTAAAAAGACAAGAGGAGACACAGGCAGAAATGGAGAGAGAGAAGGTAGAGACAGGGTATAGTGGAAGCAGGTATAGTGGGCTACGCTGTGTCACCCACCCCAAAGATATATCCAAGTCCCAACTCCTAGTATCTGGGAATGTGACCTTAATTGGAAACACAGTCTTTGCAGATGTAATTAAGTTAAGGTGACATGAGATTTAGGATGGGCCCTACATCTAAAGACAGGTGCCCTTAGAAGAGAAAGGAGAGGGAGATTTGAGACGGACACACAGGAAACAAAGCCACGTGAAGACAGAGGCAGGGATTAGAAGGGAGCCAAGGAATGCCAGCAGCCACCAGCAGCTAGGACACAGGCATGAGGTGGATTCGCTCTCAGAGGCTCCGGAAGGAACCAACTTTGCCAACCCCTTGATTTCAGACTTCTGCTTTCAGAACCCAGGGAATACATTTCTTTTGCTTTAAGTCACCCAGTTTGTGGTGATGTTACAGCAGCAATAAGAAATGAATACACAGGGAGACAGAGAAATGAGGAGAGAGAGTTGGAAGAGAGGCTGAGCAAGTTCACAGTGAGAGCTGGCCTGCAGGGAGCACTCCCCATGCGCTAAGTGTTATTAAGAGCGTTCACTGGCCGGGCACGGTGGCTCATGACTGTAATCCCAGCACTTTGGGAGGACGAAGCAGATGGATCACCTGAGGACAGGAGTTTGAGACCAGCCTGGCCAACGTAGCAAAACCCCATCTCTACTGAAAATTCAAAAATTAGCCAGGTGTGGCGGCGGGCACCTGTAGTCCCAGCTACTCAGGAGGCTGAGGCAGGAGAATCGCTTGAACCTGGGAGGCGGAGGTTGCAGTGAGCCAAGGTCGCAAGATCACGCCACTGCCCTCTAGCCTGGGCCACAGAGCAAAACTCCGTTTCAAGAAAAAAAAAAAAAAGAAGAAAAAGAAAAAAAGAGCATTCACTGATTCACTGCTCATCACACCCCCCAGTGGGAGGTGGTGGCATTACTCTCTTTTTGCAGATGAAGAAACTGAGGCATTAGGGAAAGGAGATTAATGGGACACTTGGAGGAGGCAGAGAGAGAGAGAAATTGAGACAGAGAGGGGAAGACAGGGGCCGGAGAAGGGGCTTGGGGGGCACAAGTAGAAAGAGACAGGGACATAAACTTAGAGGGGGAGAGGATGAGAGCCACTTCCTTCCTAGGCACAGGGCCTGGGGTCCATGGAAATGTTTTCACTGTAGTTATCTTTGAAAGCCAGAAGAAGATAAATGAATGTAACAGTAATTATGATGACGAATAGAACATAACTAATCCAACTTGGATGATATTTGTCTTTCTACCGAGGAATCCACAAAACATAACTTTTAGGGTGTTTTTTGTTTTTGGTTTGTTTTTAGTGTAAGAAGAGGCCCACAAAGGCAAAAGTGCTGAGGACCCGGGAAGGTTGTAATGTGACCCAGAGGTGGAGGAAAGGGGAAATGAGAAAGACAGACAGACAGAAATACAGATGAGAGAAAGGTACGGGGGTGGGGGCGGGAGGGAGAAGAGGGAGGAGAGAGACAGAGAGAGAAAAAGATAGAGACTAAAGTGACTGAAGAGGAGATTCCCAAAGTACACAGTGACCCATCCAGGGAGTTGCCATTTTCGAGGGGCCCACGGGGTCCCACGGGGGACTGAGGAGGGAGCAAGAATGACTCACGAGACCACGATGACCATGAACATAAAGACAGCCAGAGACACAGAAATGAAGATGCCCAACAGCGCCTGGTTCCTCAGATATTTGTTGTCCATCTGGTACTGCAGGGCCACGCGGGGTTGCCGGTCGACTGGGGCGGGTAGGGAAACAGCCCCGACCTCCAAGTCACCACCCCTCCTTAGCCTCGTACCCACCCCACCTGTTCATTCAGCAGCCTGGAGCGGGGTGGGGGTGGGGCGCTCTCTTCCTATTTGTTCCCTGCCCTCTGCTGGGATCTGACTCTCCACTTATCCATTCCTCTAATGCTGTGTCTCAGGCACCATTGTAGGCACTTGGGATACAGCTGGGAACCAAGCTGGCAAACTGGCCTCATGGAGTTAACAGTCCAGCCTGCATATCACAGTTATCATAGCTACAGTGAGAGGCTAGTTCTAAAAGCATTTCATTTGATGGGATGGGGTGGGGTGAGGACGACTTGGGAAGTTCGACTCACAACCAAAAGGTACAGATACAATGGCCAGGCATGGTGAGCTCGCGCCTATAATCCCAGTACTTTGGGAGGCTGAGGCAGGAGGATCACTTGAGCCCAGGGGTTCAAGTCACCATGGGCTGTGAGATCCTATCTCGACAAAAAAGAAAAAATTAGCTAGGTATGGTGGCACGTGCCTGCAGTCCTAGCAACTCAGGAGGCTGAGGTGGGAGGATTGCTGGAACACAGGAGGTTGAGGCTGCAGTGAGCCACGACTGTGTCACTGCACCCCAGCCTGGGGGATGAACCAAGACCCTGTCTCAGAAAACAAAAACAAAACAAACAAAAAAACCCAGAGACACTATGCACATGAGAGGGAGGTACAAAATGCGAACAGTTTCACAAGATAAAAGTCTTAGTTGCTACATCTTAGCTGTTGACCCTGAAGGTGGCCTTGGGAGTTGCTTTCTGCATCTTCCACTTACCACCCACCACCAACTCTTTCCTTCTATCAGCAAAGCCTCTTGGCTTGACCTTCAAAGTGTAGGCAGAATCCAATCTACCTCCATGGCTACCAAGCGGGTCCAGCTCCAGCCCAAGGCTTCTTTTAGGGGGCTCCCTTGACTCCTCCTCCCACAGTTCCTCATATGGCCTCCGGGAGGCGCTGTTAAAACCTAAATTGGCGGCCGGGCGCGGTGGCTCAAGCCTGTAATCCCAGCACTTTGGGAGGCCGAGACGGGTGGATCACGAGGTCAGGAGATCGAGACCATCCTGGCTAACACGCTGAAACCCCGTCTCTACTAAAAAATACAAAAAACTAGCCGGGCGAGGTGGCCGGCGCCTGTAGTCCCAGCTACTCGGGAGGCTGAGGCAGGAGAATGGCGTGAACCCGGGAGGCGGAGCTTGCAGTGAGCCGAGATCCGGTCACTGCACTCCAGCCCGGGCGACAGAGCAAGACTCCGTCTCAAAAAAAAAAAAAAACCTAAATTGGCTCCCTCTGCTCAGAGTCTTCCTGCTACTCTATGGCCCCCCATCTCAGAATAAAAGCTCAAGTTCTCACCGTGCTCTCTAGCAAGCCCTGCACCATCTGGTTCCCACGTGACCTGGCCATTGCCACCCTACTATTCTCTTTCATTCACTGGGCTCTGGCCACACTGGCCTTCTCCTACTTGTTGCTTAATCATGTTAGATCTTTGCATGTGCTGTTCCCTCTGTCATTGACACTGTTCCTGTCACTCACTGACTTCCTTCAGCTTTCAAAAGTCACCTCTTTAGAGGGGCCCTACATCTGTACTTTTTTTTTTTTGAGATGGAGTCTCGCTCTGTCTCCCAGGCTGGAGTGCAGTGGTGCGATCTCGGCTCACTGCAAGCTCTGCCTCCCAGGTTCACGCCATTCTCCCGCCTCAGCCTCCTGAGTAGCTGGGACTACAGGTGCCCGCCACCACGCCTAGCTAATTTTTTTGTATTTTTAGAAGAGATGGGGTTTCACCATGTTAGCCAGGATGGTCTCGATCTCCTGACCTCGTGATTCACCTGCCTCGGCTTCCCAAAGTACTGGGATTACAGGCGTGAGCCACCGCGCCCGGCCTACATCTCTCCTTTCTAAAGTAGCAGCCTCCCCCGAGGCACTATTTACCAAACCATTCTGTTTTCATTAGAACACTGTTGCCACCTGAATCCAGCCTGTTTATCTGTTCATGTAATTACCATCTAACCCAGTGGTTCTCAATCAGGGATAATTTTGTCGCTCAGGGGACATTTGGAAATGTCTAGGGACATTTCTGATTGTCATAATGGGGAGGGAGATGCTACTGGCATCTCGTGGATCGAAGCTAGGGATGCTGCTAAGCATCCTACAATAACCAGGACGGCGTCCCTAACAAAGAATGATCCAGCTCCATATCTCAACAGTGCTGAGGTTGCGAAACCCTAGTCTAACCTCTGGCCCCATTGAAATGTGGGCTCCATGAGGGCAGGAACTACATGTCTCCCATTCCACTGTTCCTCAGTTTGGGACATCGTAGGGTGCTCAAACTATTTGTTGTCACCAAGTACCAGCCAAAGGAAGCAAACAAGCAAATCCAAAAGCGGGACACTCTACAGCACACACTCCCTTCTTTTTCAATGCCAATGTCATGGAGGCAAAAAAACTGTTCTAGGTCGGGTGCAGTGGCTCATGCCTGTAATCCCAGCACTTTGGGAGGCCGAGGTGGGTGAATCACTTCAGCCCAGGAGTTTGAGACCAGCCTGGCCAACATGGCAAGACCCAGTCTAAAAACAAAACAGAACAAAACTGTTCTAGATTTTAAAAAGAAGTGGAAAAAAAAAAAAAAAAGAAGTGAAAAACTGAACAATTGAATGATATAAGAAGTCCTTTCATTGGACCTTGGTTTGAACAAATCAACTGTGAAAAATATTCTAGGGACAATTAGGAAAGTTGACAGTGGGACCTGGAATTATTTGACATTGAGGAATCATTGCTCGGTTTGGTGGGTGTGGGAACGACATTGTGGCTGCTTAGGAAAATGTCTTTATTTTTAGAGGCACATTCTATGTATGGGGCATGGTATCTGTGATTTCTTTTAAGATACTATGGCAAAGAATAAAGTAGGTGAAATAAATATGGAAGAATGTTCATTGTTAACATAATTTGATAGTACGTGCTACTTTTGAGATTATGATCAGAGAGGCCTGTCTGAGGAAGTGACCTTTGAGACCTGAATTAAGTAAAGAAGTGATTAGAACAGTGTGACAGAGAGAGGGAGCAGCATGTGAAAAGATCCAGCATGACTATTCAACCTGGATAGATATATGTGGATTCATTGTACCTTTTTTTTTTTTTTTTTTTTTGAGATGGAGTCTCGCATTGTCACCCAAGCTGGAGTGCAATGGTGCGATCTTGGCTCACTGCAGCCTCCACCTCCTAGATTCAAGCAATTCTCCTGCCTCAGCCTCCTGAGTAGCTGGAATTACAGATGCCCGCCACCATGCCAGGGTAATTTTTTGTTATTTTCGTAGAGACGGGGTTTCACTATGTTGGCCAGGCTGGTCACGAACTCCTGACCTTGTGATCTGCCTGCCTCCCAAAGTGCTGGGATTACAGGTGTGAGCCACTGCGTGTCCTGCCTCTTTGTACTATTCTTTCTGTTATGAGAATATATGTTTTTTAGGCTGGGCATGGTGGCTCATGCCTGTAATCATGGCACTTTGGGAGGCTGAGTGGATCACCTGAGGTCAGGAGTTTGAGACCAGGCTGGTCAACATGGTGAAACCCCATCTCTACTAAAAATACAAAAATTAACCGGGTATGGTGGTGCATACTTGTAGTCCCAGCTATTTGGGAGGCTGAGGCAGGGGAATCACTTGAAGCTAGGAGGCAGAGGTTGCAGTGAGCCGAGATCATGCCAATGCACTCCAGCCTGGGTGAGACTCCATCTCAAAAAAAAAAAAAAAAAAAAAAGGCCATGTGCAGTGGCTCACACCTGTAATTCCAGTACTTTGGGAGGCCAAGGCAGGTGGATCACAAGGTCAGGAGATTGAGACCATACTGGCTAACACGGTGAAACCCCGTCTCTACTAAAAATACAAAAAATTAGTCGGGTGTGGTGGCGGGCACCTGTAGTCCCAGCTACTCGGGAGGCTGAGGCAGAAGAATGATGTGAACCCAGGAGGCGGAGCTTGCAGTGAGCCGAGATTGCGCCACTGCACTCCAGCCTGGGTGACAGAGTGAGACTTCATCTCAAAAAAAAAAAAAGGTTGGGCGCAGTGGCTCACGCCTGTAATCTCAGCACTTTGGGAGGCTGAGGCAGGCAGATCACCTGAGGTCAGGAGTTCAAGACCAGCCTCAACATGGAGAAACTCCGTCTCTACTAAAAATACAAAATTAGCTGGGCGTGGTGGCACATGCCTGTAATCCCAGCTACTCGGGAGGCTAAGGCAGGAGAATTGCTTGAACCTAGGAGGCGGAGGTTGCGGTGAGCCAAGATCGCACCATTGCACTCCAGCCTGTCAACAAGAGCAAAACTCTGTCTCAAAAAAAAAAAAAAAAAGTATGTTTTTTAGGGGCATTCTAAAGTTCCAGGGAGTCTTTCCATTTACCAGATGGAGGAAAGTGAATTTCAGAACACAGAAGCAACTTCTGGGCCACACTCTAAGCAAATGGTTAGGGCAGGATTCGAGGCTGCATGTGGGAGCCTCGAAACCCGTATCTAGTGGGTCATGGCTGTCTTAATCTCTTGCATGCTTGTCCCATGTCTTCCCCCACCCCCAGAAGCTTACCAAAGCAGTACTTTTTGTGGATACACTGGGGTTTGATCCTCTGGCAATGTAAACAGTCCCACACCTCTTCTTTTAGCCAGCCTAGGCAAGGGGAAAGGGAGAAGTAAGACAAGGGCAGGTATCAGAGGACCGGCAAGGGTGGGAAGGAAGAAGGAGAAAGAGGAGATGGGGTCCCTTGGCTCTCCTAAATTTCAGAGATTCCACTGCCCAGCAGAGGAACTGAGCAAAATGCACTGACAATTCACATAAAAAATAATTGTTATATAATCATTGAAGAGTTCAATTCAGTTGCAGTCATCCAGTAGATTCAGCAGTCTGTTTGTGGACATTTAATTAAACATTTGTAAATTCTGAGTTTGCACTTTTCTTTTTCTAATTTGGAGCCCCCTTTGCAGACACTGGTGAGATGTCCCCTCTTTGGGCACACTGTGTCCTCCTCTACTGGTGCATACAGGAGGACTACATTTCCCAGGGTGCCTTTCAGTAAATTGTGACCTTGTGACCTAGTCCTGGACAATGGAAAGTCAGCAGGATCATGTGTGTCTCTTCCAGGCTTGGCTATAAAACTCTCAGTGTGATTTCTATTGCTTTTCCGTTTGAAGCATGCTTAGAAGCTGCCATGTGTGTATAGCCTGGATCCCTGAGTCACCACCTGGACTGCTGCTCAACTCTCAGTGAATTTGGGTGAAAGAAAAATAAACCTTTGTTGTATTAAACCACTGAGATGAGAGGGTTTATTTGTTAATACAGCATAGCCTATCTTATTGTGACTTACATACCTTCAAAATGTTTTGTTTTGCAGATAGTCGTTATTTTCATAAACCTTTAAAAAGCAAATCTCCCTAGGTTCCATGGCTTTGGGGTAAGGGAACTGCCAAATGGAGTAAGGAGTGGTAGCCAGGCTTGATGTGGGGAGACAGGGCGAAGGGGGTTAGGAGGGTACAGAAGGGAGAGATAGATGATCCAGAACTCACGGCAAAGTTTGGGGTTGCAGGCTGCAAGAGAAAATTGCTGAGGTGAGTTAAATTGGGATGGTAACTTGATAATTTAATTGGCGAGGGATCAGGAGAGCAGGTAAGGGGTGAGGCTGGGAAAGGACAGAAGGGAAGATTGGGGAGAGATGAAGAAGGCTGAGTTATAGGAGAGGTGAAGAAGGAGTTTGGTTTGGGAGAAAAAGTGGTAAAAGTGGATCAAGAGATCAAGGGAGAAGGGGAGAGGGAATTGGTGGAGAGAGATGCTGCACCTTTTAATTGATGTGAAATTAAAACTTTCTTGAGTTCCTTGATCACATTCGCCCTGAGGGTCACCAGCTCTTCCAGCAAAGGCTCATCTGAGGAGAGGAAGAGATCTCTGTGGGGTGGGAGGCACCCAGAAAGCCCACCCCACTACCTGCAGCTTCCAGGAGAAGAGCTAAGGAAGCTCCTCTTCATTTATAAGGGGTAACCAAGACCAGGATTACTAAGGGTCTCCTGGGCAAATCTATGGCGGGGAGATCCTGCATCTATATTCTGATTCACTGTGGGGCCTAGGCAAAGCCACGCTTCCTTGGCCTCACTTTCCTCATCTGGCAAGTGGATTTCATCTCTCTTCTCCTCTTCTTTCTTTTTTGAAACGGAGTCTCACTCTGTTGCCCAGGCTGGAGTGCAGTGGTGTGATCTTGGCTCACTACAACCTCCACCTACCAAGTTCAAGTGATTCTCCTGCCTCAGCCTCCCAAGTAGCTGGGATTACAGGCATGTGCCACCACGCCTGGCTAATTTTTTGTATTTTTAGTAGAGATGGGGGTTTCGCCATGTTGGCCAGGCTGGTTTCAAACTCCTGACCTCAGGTGATCCTCCCACCTCGGCCTCCCAAAGTGCTGGGATTACAGGCGTGAGCCACCGTGCCTGGCCTCTTCTTTTCTGTGTCTACACTCACTCCTTCATGATTTCAATCCATATGGCTTTATATATTACCTAGCCTTGCACTGTCCAGTGTGGTAGCCACTAGCCACACCTGGCTACTGAACACTTGAAATGGGCTAGTCTGAATTGAGATGTGCTGTAGGTATAAAATGTACACTGGATTGTAAAGATATTGTGCAAAACACCTGTAAAATATATTGATAATTCCTATGTGGATTGCATGTTGAAATGGTGATAATTTATATATTGGATTAACTAAAATATATTATCAAAATTAATTTCATCTGTTTCTGTTTACCTTTTTAAAAATGCAGCTACTAGAATTTTTATTTTATTTTATTTTATTTTTGTTTCTGAGATGGAGTTTTGCTCTTGTTGCCCAGGCTGGAGTGCAATGGTGTGATCTCTGCTCACTGCAAACTCCGCCTCTGGGTTCAAGTGATTCTCCTGCCTCAGCCTCCTGAGTAGCTGGGATTACAGGCACCCACCACCACACCTGGCTAATTTTTGTATTTTTTGTAGAGATGGAGTTTTACCATGTTGGCCAGGCTAGTCTTGAACTCCTGACCTCAGGCGATCCACCTGCCTCAGCCTCCCAAAGTGCTGGGATTACAGGTGTGAGCCACCGCGCAACCAGAAAATTTTAAATTTAAATTTAAAATTGCATATGTGACTCCTATTTGTGGCTGACATTCTATTTCTATTGGATGGTGCTGTTCTATACACAGATGCCCCCCACATTTATATTACTAGCCCAGAGGGCTCACCGAAGGTGGAATTTATATACCTAGCTATCTGGTCAAGATCTCCAATTGGATATCTAACAGGCATCTCAAACCCACTAAGTCCAAAACTGAACCCTCATTATTCTCCTCCAGACCTACTCCCAACCTCCCAGTCTACTCCATCTTAGTAAATAGGTATGTCACGATTCTAATTGCTCAATTCAGAATCATTGGTGCTATCTTTGACAACTTTCTCGTTTTCTTTTCTTCTTCTTCTTTTTTTTTTTTTTTTTTTGAGACAGAGTTTTGCTCTTGTTGCCCAGGCTGGAGTGCAATGGGGCGATCTCAGCTCACCACAACCTCTGCCTCCCGGGTTCAAGCAATTCTTCTGTCTCAACCTCTTGAGTAGCTGGGATTACAGGAATGTGCCACCACAGCCGGCTAATTTTGTATTTTTAGTAGAGACGGGGTTTCTCTATGTTGGTCAGGCTGGTCTCGAACTCCCGACCTCAGGTGATCCACCTGCCTCAGCCTCCCAAAGTGCTGGGATTATAGGCCTGAGTCACTGCGCCAGGCTGACGCCTTTCTTTTTCTTTTTTTTTGAGACGGAGTCTCACTCTGTTGCCCAGGCTGGAGTGCAGTGGCGTGATCTCGGCTCACTGCAAGCTCCGCCTCCCAGGTTCACGCCATTCTCCTGCCTCAGCCTCACTAGTAGCTGGGACTACAGGTGCCCGCCACCACACCCGGCTAATTTTTTGTATTTTTTAGTAGAGACAGGGTTTCACCGTGTTAGCCAGGATGGTCTCAATCTCCTGACCTCGTGATCCGCCTGCCTTGGCCTCCCAAAGTGCTGGGATTACAGGTGTGAGCCACCGCGCCCGGCCGACGCCTTTCTTTTTCTTATATCCCAGTGCAATTTTTCAGCATGACTGGCAACAAATCCTGTTTGTTCAATATTCAAAACACCCATTCCCTCCCCTTAACTCTAAGATCTCATCTTCCACAGAGACAATGTTGCCTTCTCACTGCACTCTGGCCTTCTTGGATGTTCTGTGAATATGCCAAACTTAGTCCCATCTCAGGGATTCCACCAGCTGTTCTTTCTGCCTGCACCCTTCTACCCCCAGACCCCGTCATGGCTGCTTCCCTCTCCCCTTCAGGTCTTTTCTCACATGCTCCCTTTTCAGGGACATCTTTCTTGGATGCCCTACTTTAAGCTGCAATCCCCACCCCTACTCACAGCACTTGCCATTCCGTGGTCCTTGCTTTATTTTTTTCCTCCTTAGTATTTCCCTCCATTTGACATATTTTATTGGGCAATAAAGGATTAACAGAGCAGGCCTGGGTTGTCCCAACTCTGCACATTCCCACCCCGCCCCCCCCACCACACACACACAAAATTTTCGCTCTTGCCTGGCTTACAGAAGGTAACCTCTATGTCCTTGGAATATCCTGCCTGTTAAGAGTATTTTGGTTTGGCTGGCACGGTGGCTCACGCCTATAATTCCAGCACTTTTGGGAGGCCAAGGCGGGCAGATCACTTGAGGTCACAAGTTTGAGAACAGCCTGGCCAACATGGTGAAACCCCGTCTCTACTAAAAATAGAAAAATTAGCCGGGCATGGTGGTGGGTGCCTGTAATCCCAGCTACTTGGGAGGCTGAGGCAGGAAAATCGCTTGAACCCGGCAGGCGGAAGCTGCAGTGAGCAGAGATTGTGGCACTGCACTCCAGCCTGGAAGACAGGGCGAGACTGTCTTAAAAAAAAAACAAAAAAACAAACAAAAAAAACCGTGTCTTGGATTATGATCAGGTGCAGCGGCTCACACCTGTAATCCCAGCACTTTGGGAGGCTGAGGTAGGAGGATTTATTGAGGCCAGGAGTTTGAGACCAGCCTGGGCAACATAATGAGACCCCATCTCTACAAAAAATTAAAAAATAGAAAATTAGCCAGGTGTGGTGGCACACGCCTGTGGTTCCAGCTACTTGGGAGGCTGAGGCGACAGGATCGCTGGAGCCCTGGAGGTCGAGGCTGCAGTGAGCTGTGATGGCGTCACTGCACTCCAGCTGGAGCGACAGTGAGGCTCTGCGCCTTAAAAAAAAAAAAAGAAAGAAAGAAAGAAAGAAAGAAAGAAAGAAAGAAAGAAAGAAAGAAAGGCTACATTACATGCGTGTTTGCTCTTATTTTTATATTCAAGGGAGGTGATGCAGACCGGCCGAAAGGAGAGGGGTGCTGGAGCAGGCGTTCCCTCGGCTCTCCTACCTTTCAGAGAGTTATCCATTAAGTGCTGCGTTTGGTTCTTGACAAAGGACGCCACAAGGTCCAGTTGATTTGTCTCTGGGGGAGAAGGGAGAGGACACTCCAGTGGGCCCCCCAGAGAGTCAAGTGACCTCGCCCCCTCCAGGCCTGGCCCCGGCCCCTCTTGGGGGCGTGGTCTCCGGCATCCCTTGCCCAGCCCCGCTGCCCAACTTCCAGCACGCACCCACTCTCCCCACAAACGCGTTCAGCGCGTAGTCCTGGAAGAAAGGCCCCTCCATGCCCATCAAGACGGCCCTGGCGCGGGCCTGCAGCTGCTCCAACTGGAAGCGACTGGGGATGAGGGTGGAGCGCAGGTGACTCAGGGCCTCCGGCACCGAGGGGTCGCACTGCAGGCAGCCCCAGCCTCCGGGGGCGCCCAAGCCCGACAGCAGCAGAAGGGTCAAGGCCAGAAGCATGGCGAGGCCTTTGTGACGTCACAGAGAGGGCCCCGCGGGCCCCGCCTCCCAGTCGAGGGCGCGGTCAGGAGGCCCAGGGAGCATCAGGGTGTTACAGGTCCGTGTTTGCTGAGCACCTACTGTGTGCCAGGCATGGTTCTAGAACCTAGAGAGAGAGTCAAGAAAAAACAGAAAGCCTCTGCTCTACCCCTCTTTTACATTTATTCATCCAACACATATTGTTTTATTTTATTTATTTATTTATTTTTTCCCGAGACGGAGTCACACTGTCTCCCAGGCTGGAGTGCAGTGGTGTGATCTCGGTTAACTGCAACCTCCGCCTCCCGGGTTCAAGCGATTCTCCTGCCTCAACCTCCCAAGTAGCTGGGACTACAGGCAGGCGCCACCAGGTCCAGCTAATTTTTTATTTTTAGTAGAGATGGGTTTCATCATGTTGGCCAGGCTGGTCTCGAACTCCTGACCTCAGGCGATCTGCCCGCCTCGGCCTCCCAAAGTGCTAGAATTATAGGCGTGAGCCGCTGCACCCGGCCTACATATTGTTTTTTTGTTTGTTTATTTGTTTGCTTGTTTGTTTTCAGACAGAGTCTTGCTCTGTCGCCCAGGCTGGAGGGCAGTGGTGCGATCCTGGGTCATGGCAAGCTCTACCTCCAGGTTCAGCCTATTTTTGTGCCTCTGCCTACCAAGTAGCTGGGATTACTGTGCCACCACACTCGTATAATTTATGTATGTATATGTGTGTGTGTGTATATATATATATATAGAAAGAGAGAGAGAGAGAGATGGAGTATCGCTCTGTGTCACAGGCTGGAGCTCAGTGGTGCAATCTCAGCTCACTCTATATACGTAGATGAATTAAATATAAATTTAATCATAGAGATTCAACTAAAAGACATTATAATAGTATACATGGAGATATAGCAAATGTGAAATTAATATATGATATATTATATATAGTTAAATATTAATTCATAGAGATTAAATTAATTAAGACTAAATATTTCTATGTGGAGGGAGAGAGGAGGAGAGAGAGAGACAGAGTAGGAGAGGGGAGCTGTCTTATTAATAGTTTAGGTGCTATAACAAAACACCATAGACTGGGTGGCTTATGAACAACAGAATTTATTTCTTACAGTTCTGGAGGCTGGAAATCCAAGATCAGAGCACCAACAAGATGTGGTTCTGGTGGAGCTCTCTTCTTGTATCCTCACGTGGCAGAAAGAGGATGAGAGGACTCTCTGGGTTCCCTTTTTTTATTTTTTAATTTTTGAGATAGAGTCTTGCTCTTGTCACCCAGGCTGGAGTGCAGTGGCACGATCTCAGCTCACTGCAACCTCCACTTCCCAAGTTCAAGAGATTCTCCTGCTTCAGCCTCCTGAGTAGCTGGGACTATAGGTGTGTGCCCCAACGCCCGGCTAATTTTTGTATTTTTTGTAGAGATGGGGTTTCACCATGTTGGGCAGGCTGGTCTTGAACTCCCAACCTCAAGTGATCCACCCCCACCTCGGCCTCCCAAAGTGCTGGGATTGCAAAGTGTGGGATTAGACCACAAGGAGGTGCTCACACCCAAGTGAAATTTTCTCTACTTCCGGACTGAAAGTCAGGGCCTTGCCGCCCACGCCTACCTTTCTTAGGATCATCCAGTTGTCTACCTATGTCGTGGGGGCCATAAATTGAGAAATGAACCTGAGATATTAACGTGCGCGTCCTTTTCCTCACCCCCTATTACCATCTGCCTTTCACGCAGGGAGTCAAGGGGCTGCTGTTTGACCTAAGAAGTGATGGCTAGAATGGGATGGGAAGGCCGCTCATTCCTCAGCTTCCAAGCCCCAAACCCTGAGGCCCGGGTGTGAGGCAGGAAGGCTTGGGATGCAGAACCGGTTTTGTTTATCGGCTGCAGCCATGCTAATTTGGTAAAACATAAGTTAAATGAACTATCATCAGATTTCACACCCCAGCGAAAGTGGCTGAGGAAGTTCCCACACTCACCCTCCAGGCGCACAGACGTCCATCACCATGTTGTTGACGGCACCGGGAGACAAAGGCGAGCTGGGTGTCCTCACTGGGGAGGTGGGTCCCCGGTTGTAGGACTCTGTAGCAGCTAGAAGATCAGACGAGCCTATCCACATCATGACATGAATGGATCCAAGTGAAAACAGTAAAAAGCAAAACAAAGCAAGCAAACGAACGAAAAACCCACAGTGAAACATACAACTCAATACCATTGACATAATTTTTCTTTTTTTTTTTTTTTCTGGAGACAAGGTCTCCCTCTGTCGCCCAAGCTGGAGTGCAGTGGCACGATCTCAGCTCACTGCAGCCTCAACCTCCTGGGCTCAAGTGATCATCCTGCCTCAGGCTCCCACATAGAATAGAAAAAAATAGCCGGCTGTGGTGGCACGCTTCTGTAGTCCTGGCTACTTGGGAGACTTAAATAGGAGGATCGCCTAAACCTGGGAAATCAAGGCTGAATGAAGCGAGCCACGATCTCACCACTGCATGCCAGCCTGGGGCACAGAGCAAGATCCTGTCTCAAAACATAAAAAAGAAAAGAAAAGGATGATATGTTTGTTCATTTGTTTATTTTGAGACAGAGTTTTGCTCTGTTGCCCAGGCTGGCGTGCAGTGGCATGATCTTGACTCACTGTAATCTCGCCTCCCGGGTTCAAGTGATTCTCCTGCCTCAGCCTCCCGAGTAGCTGGCACTACAGGTGTGCACCATCACAGCTGGTTAATTTTTGTATTTTTTTATAATTTTTTTTTTTTTTTTGAGACGGAGTCTTGCGCTGTCACCCAGGCTGGAGTGCAGTGGCCGGATCTCAGCTCACTGCAAGCTCCGCCTCCAGGATTTACGCCATTCTCCTGCCTCAGCCTCCCGAGTAGCTGGGACTACAGGCGCCCGCCACCACACCCGGCTAGTTTTTTTGTATTTTTAGTAGAGACGGGGTTTCACCGTGTTAGCTGGGATGGTCTCGATCTCCTGACCTCCTGATCCGCCCATCTAGGCCTCCCAAAGTGCTGGGATTACAGGCTTGAGCCACCGCGCCTGGCCTAATTATTTTTTTGAGACAGAGTCTCACTCTTGTCACCCAGGCTGGAGTGTAATGGCATGGTCTCGGCTCACTGCAACCTCCGCCTCCCGGGTTCAAGCGATTCTCTTGCCTCAGCCTCCTGAGTAGCTGGGACCACAGGTGCGCACCACCACACACAGCTAATTTTTGTATTTTTAGTGGAAATGGGGTTTAACTATGTTGGCCAAGCTGGTCTTGAACTCCTGACCTCGTGATCCACCGCCTCGGCCTCCCAAAGAGCTGGGATTACAGGCGTGAGCCACTGCGCCCGGCCAATTTTTGTATTTTTAGTAGAGATGGGGTTTCACCACGTTGGCCAGGCTGTTCTCAAACTCCTGACTTCAAGTGATCTGCCTGCCTCGGCTTCCCAAAGTGCTGGGATTACAGTTGTGAGCCACCACGCCCAGCTGAAAAGGACTATATGTTTTATGCTCATCTGAGTTTGTGACTGTACAAAGTCATGCCTGCTGCTCTAATATTTCCGGAGGGTTTTGGGGAGCTTTGTGAACCTCATGAAGTAATGTACATACACGTGTGTATTGCCAGAATGAAGGCATGCCTTATTTCGTCCACACCCCATTTGGCTGACGTGGATTGGGAGGCAAAGCAGGGACAGTCTACTCGTGTGAGGTTATGCAGGTAGAGACAGAGACAGATGTGGGGCCAGGCAGGCAGCCAGAGGTCTCCAGGCTGCAAAGCCCTGCTGAGTGACACTAATGGCCAGATCTGGCGTTGGTGTGCAGCAGGCGGAAAAGAATGTCTGGGAAATGGTTAGAGGGATTTGGCTTCAAGCCCAGCGGAGGAGGGGAGTTAGAGGAGGCGGTTCCAGCGTTGGGGGTGGGGTGAGGGCTGTTTTCTCACCATTCACTTCCCCATGTCCAGCCCCCTCCCTAGTCCACGTTGTGTGGCTACAAAAACAGTGACCTGTTCTCATGCACAGCTGTCGGGGGGCAGACGGGGACGGCCACATTGGAAAACGGTCAGGCTGTAGGCAGGCTGGACATGTGCACATCCCTTCCTTCACATGCACACACGGGAAATGTGTGCACACATCTGCCAGGGCGGGCAGACACGCATCCCCTTGGCAGCGTCCTTTGTAAGGAGCTCAAGCTGGAGACAGCCCAAGTATCTGTCAACGGGAGACTCGCTAGATAAACCCACTGTGGCATGTTCCTCTGATGGAATCCCGCAGGTCAGTGGGAGGATGATCTGGCTGCCCACAAACGTCTCTGGGGCATCGTTCAAACATGATGTTGAGCAAAAGCAGAAACAAAGGACGACGTGATCTGCAATTCCTTTTTTTTGACAGAGTCTCGCTCTGTCGCCCAGGCTAGAGTGCAGTGGCGTGATCTCGGCTCACTGCCACCTCTGCCTTCCAGGTTCAAGTGATTCTCCTGCCTCAGCCTCCTGAGTAGCTGGGACTACAGTCACGTGCCACCACACCTGGCTAATTTTTATATTTTTAGTAGAGATGGGGTTTCACCATGTTAGCCAGGATGGTCTCGATCTCCTGACCTCATGATCCGCCCACCTTGGCGTCCCGAAGTGCTGGGATTACAGGCGTGAGCCACCACGCCCGGCCTACAGCCTCCTTTTTAAAGGCTGAATAATATTCCATTGTATGGATGGGCCACATTGCGTGCATTCATTCGTCGGTCGATAAGATACGTGGGTTGCTTGCACATCGTGTTTTGCATTCTTTTCTGGATGTGTGTTATATTTCACTCACACAAAAACTTTAAAATAACATGCTTTGTTATTTGCATGGCCTGGGATTGAATGTCACCCCAAGGCAGAGGCAGGGCCCATGACCTGCCCTGTAGGGCACTTCTCACCTAGTTCAGTGACTCTCACACCCATGGGTGGAGCACGGTCATGCCCACATTTCCTCTCACTCCATCACCAGCACCAAGGGGTGACATCAGCTGTGCT